GGAAAGAGTATAGCAGGTCCTGCAAGTCCATTTCTATCTATGAGATCCAAGCCCAAAATATTATTTGGGCTCGGACCTCTTAAATAGAAATATGTGGATTCTGGATTATCTCCTAAGTTTGAAAGAGTCTTAATTTTCCCTAATTGCAAGGAAAATTAGCAGTAGTAATAGTTCAGTGCCTGTAAGTAGATGAAAAATGAGTGTTTTTAACCCTGTGATCTTAATATGCTTGCTCCACATTTGCTAGAAAGGTTCTAGATGCTCTTTAGTGCAAATACAACATTTCATTTTTACTAGAATTGGTCCTTGGTGGACTTGCCCCTGGGTTTGTCTAATCTTGTTTTGAAGCTGTTGATACTGCCTACCTCTGCCTCCTGTAGCAAGTTTCCAGAAGTACGCTACCAACTGGATAGAGAAGTACTGTCTCTGTTTTAATCTAATCTGCTGTTTTCATAAAGTGCTCCCAGTTCTCATACCATGGGATTTAGTGAATAACAGTTCTGCATTCAGCTTATGTGCCACCTTGTGATTTTGTAGACCTGCGCCATCTTCCCCTGCTCAGCCTTCTCTCCAGACTGAAGGGTCCCAGCATGTTTTAATCTCTTCTCACATGGCAGCTGTTCCACCCCTTTGATCATTTTTATTACCCTTCTCTGGACGGTCTCTAACTCCAGTATGCTACGCCCTCCTTGCGGTGCAGAGACCAGAACTGCCAACACCGCTTACGACATGAGTGCACCAAGTTTTCATACAGTGGCAGAGTGATCTGCTTTGTCTTGTTCTCGGTGCCTTTCCTAATGATGACCAATGTTTTGCTGGGCTTTTTTTTCGACTGCTGCTGCATGCTATGCTGGTGAATCTAGAGGACTGTCAGTGGTGACTCCAGGGTTTCTTTCTGGAGCTGTAACTGCCGCTTCCGCGTTCAGCATAATTTAGGCGTAACTCAGATTTTTTTTTCCTTAGCTGCATTGCTTTACATTTATATATATATTGAAGTCCATCTTCTTACTTACTTGCTTGGTTTTGTGAGGTCCTTTTGAGTTCCTTGCCATTGACATTACTACTTTCCTAAATGAATTTGAAATCTAGTCAAGAAATGTCTGGAAATGGATCTGACCAAGTGGTGAATTTAACTTGCAAAGCAACTTAATGCTGTTAAACGTCAACACAGTTATTAAAGAAGTGCCTTTGTCTACTCTGTTGTTCTGTAAGGCATCTTATGAAGACAAGGAGGAAATTAAATTCTTAGTAGTCCATAAATTCTGCACCTTTGTAATCTACATTGGGATATACCATTTGTGCATCTTTTGAAAGGGAGATAATTAGGAAAAGGAATCATTTCAAAAAAGACACAGCAAAAAGAGAGATCTACCTGGGATCGTAAGTTTGAGAATAATTAAGGGATGGCTCTTGTGATCTCAAAAGATCTGTGATTCTGTGGAGTTGCTTTGTGCGAGGAGTTGATGTGGAATTGTTTTACAGACCCTAAAATCTGTTAAGAGTGAACCTGAAGTTAGATTGTGAGTAAGCTGTTACGTGACATTTGTTGTTCTCAGGCAGTCTTTTCACTCGTGGTGCTTTCAAATAAATCTCCCACTTGGTGAAATTACATTTTGGAAACGATTTGTTCCTCAAACTGGAGTTAAACTCCAGTGTTTGTCGAATGTCATTCCTCTTTGCTTACACTGAGGAAAAATAATCTCTGTAGCATACTGTATCTTTATTCATCAGGAAAAAGGGATAGAGATTGCTGTACTTGGTAAACCACCTTCTTCTTTTGAAAATAAAAGAAAATCAGAATGGTATGGTCACAGCGAAGTTAGTAGGGGAGGGTAGAGGTGACTTTACTGAAACAGAATTATTAGCAGAAAATTTTATTTTTATCTCATCTTCATGCTTACAGAGAAATCCTTTATATTGATTTGAAGTGCAGAGTAACAAGGCAACAAGAAAGATATACCTCAGGAAATAGAGTTATCATTTAATAGAAATTAAATGGAAAATTGCTCAGTTGTTTTTCTTTTTGTAAATGCCGTTGTTTCTGGGCAAATTAACAAATTTTGAACTGGAATACTAATTATTTTCTTTGAAAGATCCTTAATTCAAGTTTATGTTGTTCAGACAATCTTCCTACCCCGTTTTCTTACGCACAGGTCTTAGATGAAGTTTTTTGAAAGGGCCAGAAACGCCAATGCACAACACGATAGGCTGGTATGAAGTAGAGATGAGATCTGGGACTTTGTCATTGCCGTTTTATGCAAAGCAATGCTCAAATTGTGATTAAATGAGCCTTTGGAAGAATCGTTTAGCATACTTTGCAACAATGTGTATCGTTATGAATTAATAAATATCTTTTAGGATGCTCCCAGTCGAAACACCACATTTATTTCATGGATTAATAGACTTCTGGAGTGCTTACGGTTGTACAGTCTTGAAAATATTAATGAATTTGTGGATTAGAAGTGAAGGACTGAGAGATTAAGTGATTTTTTTGCCCAGGATCATTCACGAAGCGCATTAAAGAAATAAGATATTAGCATATATTACTTGTGTCTATTAAGCATCTGAAGTAATAATTCAGGAAAAAGTTACTGTGTTACTGTATCATTCTAGCATTGAACAACTGGTTTTGTCATTCTAAAGGTTTTTTTCTTTCTCTTACATGAAATTAATAGAATATCAGTGATTGCTTTTACTGAAGGTACTTAAATGCCTGCTACTTTAGTTTTTGACGTACTTCAAGTTTGGAATAGCACATAACTGCCTCAACGTTCTTTTTTTCCTGAAATAGACTTATCATTCTCTGCTCTTCTTTACTTCTAACTAGAGTTTTTGATCTTATTGGAGTACTAAGGAAATTGAGTAACTGGCGAAAGTATCTCAATCTATTCATGAACAATTAATAGTGGATTTTTTCCTCAATGTACTTTTTGGCACTTTAGATGTAGGAGAGAGGAACTCATAATGACAGATGCCATTTCTCACATAGAACAATGATAAATAATTTATGACACAAATATCTTTTAATGCAGCTAATCCCGTCTGGCAGAATCCTTAATATTTGGGTCTAGTATACATCTTTCTGCATCTCAGTTTTGAGAAAGAACTTTATTTTAATGAAACCTGAAAGGGAGTAGTTTTCCTAGTTTTCTCCTATGCTCAGTAAGTAACTACATAATGATGTTACAGCTACGTCAGAATTATAACTGACTTATTTCGGTGTAATGTTTTGCTGAGATGGCATTTGCATGCATGTGCCATTTCCTGATCGGGAGACTGTATCATTTAAAATTATACGAACATTTAGTTTGCTGTAAGGCTATATTCTTGAGTATTCAGAGTGTATATTTCATGCTACCTATTGTCAAATATTTTTTTCTGGTAGCGTTCTTGAGATAAATTGATATTTTGAGCTTTGTGATCAACGTGTTTTCAGGCAAATGTCAGTAACGTCTCTGATGTCTTGCTAGTGATATATTCATTTTTAATGCGTTAACTCTAAATACTCTAGAATTTAAACAGAAAATGACAAATCAGTTAATGATTGGTGTAACAGTAATAAAATTAAACATTCTTAACACAGTTGTGCTCATGAAATATGTACTTTTTTTTTAATATAGAGAAGCTGTATGGTGACTTCTTGAGTTGGAATCTAGAAGATACTCTCTCCCAGTTTCCTCTAAAACCTGGCAAAATTGCAACATTTACTGTAAACATTAAAGTGAAGCTGGACTTCTCCTGCCAAGAAAATCTTCTGCAAGATCTCAATGATGGTGAGTTTTTGAATTTCTCCTTGCCTAGGAGTATTGTATTTACTTCTGAGAAGCATCTATGTCCAGTTGTCAGGCTGTTCTGTTTTAAATATGGTGTGTAAAGTGGCTCTATGTTTTCATATTTGTATCTTGTGATGTAAAGACATAGCTCTTCAGTGAGATGTATGGATGGAAGACTGAATTCTTGTGACAGCTTTGGACAAGAGAGTTTGGCCAGGCTTTCTCGTCCTGAGACGTTACCCTGATATATTTTTAAATCTTTCTTGGGGGATCGTTTTTAGAGTGTCTCTTTGTTATATCTCTATCTCATGAAAGCAAAGAAAAATAAAGCTTGCAAACATCAATCGACATCAAAGAGAAATGAATATTACGTTAATTATTCAATGATCTAATATTGTAGAATTCTTAATCATGGCTGGCTTCCAGCATTTTGCCAGAAGTGACACACTGAAACACAGGGCGTAATCCCCTTAATATTTATAATATATAAAAAGTTTCATGTGGTTAAACTCATAATTTCTTTTGAATCAAAACAAGAACAATACTTGCTTTTACCAGATTTACCCAGAGTTACAAGTATCAGATACTTGTGCTACGGATTTCTTCTTTGTTAGAACACAAAATGGTCACCGAATGGTTGAGGTTGGAAGGGACCTCTGGAGATCATCTCGTCCAACCTCCCTGCCCAAGCAGGGTCCTCTAGAGGATATTGCCCAGGATCGCATCCGGACGGGTTTGGAATATCTCCAGCGAAGGAGACTCCACTACCTCTCCGGGCAACCTGTGCCAGTGCTCTGTCACCCTCACAGCAAAGAAGTTTCTCCTCAGGTTCAGATGGAACTGCCTGTGTTGCAGTTTGTGCCCGTTGCCTCTTGTCCTGTTGCTGGGCACCA